CGGAATCCATGATGCAAACAAAAGCTCTCGCAAAGGCAGGAGACAATCTGGAGGCAACCCAGAAGCCAAGGAAGAAGAGAATTTCAAGAAAAAGTTCATCTACACAGTCTTCTGCAACAGAGAGGTCAAAGGCCACTGGTATTGGCTCAGTTCTAATCCCAGGAACCCCCGTGTGTGCGCTAACCCAGAGTTGATCTTTAGTTACTGACTGTGCGTACCGATTATCAAGCACACATATCTGGTCATTTTTTAATACTCGTCATTAACCCACAGATACTCAGATATTACATCCTATCTCCCTGACACTCTTATAAGTTTCTCGAGGAAAGAGATCATAATTGGTATCTTTATGCACTACTTGGACCCCGCTGTGCCTTCCTATTATCATGCCTTTAGCAATTTTTGAGATATATTTTTAACTAATTGTAACTATGACCATCCTGGTGATTGTGGTATGCAGATGAAGGTCAGCTGAATCTAGGGAGGCGACACAGACAGTGGGATAGTGCTAAGCTTTGCTATTCAGAGTGTGGTCCATGGACCAGCATCATCATCCAGGAACTTGTTAAAAATGCAATTTCAGCTGCCTTCCCAGACCGATTGATTCAGAATCTGCATTTTAACCAGATCCAGGTGGCTGATTCCTACACAAACTGGTGTAGACTCAGTATAGTATAGAAAGGGCTGGCACCGAGTTACCAAGGAAGTTAGTTGGAGGAGGGGAAGATAGCATATGAGTTTCAGTATGTGGACACGTGCTGAGAACAAACTTCAATCCGCTCAGACCCACAGCTCAACGATGGAGCCCAGGCCCTTTGGGTGTGTGACAGGGCCAGGCCAAGAAGCAATTCCAGCTTCTGAGCAGAAGCCCAGATGCATAAATCCTTCTTCCATAAACAGCCACTAACTTCAATTATAGGAAGGGCTTTGCAGATTGTATCTACTAGGTTGTTTTTCTACATGTTATAAATATTCTGACTTCCCGAAGACCCTATTTATGCTCCTCATATTTATCCAGGCCTGGGATTTATATTATTCTGCCTCTCACTTCATTTCTCCTATAAGATTTGGTTTCCCTCTAATCTTTAGATTACAATTGCTAAAATAACTTTTTGGCATAAGTGAAAGTTAAACTTGAAAATGTAACTTTAACCTTAAATAGAAAGAGCCTGCAATAGAGGGAGCTACATTCACAGCGCTATTGTTAAATGACCAGGTGTCAGGAAAAAGTTCCCAAAGGAAAGAACTGTTGGACAAAAGCACAGTCATATCCCATAGAACGAAAACCAAACAGAGCAATGAAGCAGAATCTTTCCTTTGTGCTCAATGCTTCAATATTTCTTTATCTAAGTTTCCTATAGATAAATGCATTGAGTGTTACTGCTTCAAAATATCACTGTGCTGGAAGAGTTCTCTGTGGGTCTTTTATTATTTTTAACAGCTTTATTGATATATAATTTACACACCATAAAGTTCACATTTTAGACATGGAAGAGATTTTCATTCCAACCTCTACTTTCAAGCAATACTTCATTAAACTCACCAAGGAATATAATACAGCCATTTCTTAAATCTCCAGGAACACAGGACATTGTCATGACCCTATGATAATATATGCTAGTATCTCAGCTTTTATCAGTGGAAAGAACATCGTGACAAAGTTCGCTCTATTAAAATTCAAACTATAAATGTAATGTCTTTTAGTGCTATATTTCAAAGGAGACTGAAAATACCACTTTAGGCCTTGTAATCCTCCTACTTTGTAGGAACTCCATGTGGAAGCAAACTTCATTTACCGCATCCAAAGTGGAAATTACAAATTTTTACAAACTACTTTTCCCCTAGTTTTTGTGGACTATTTTTTTCCACTAGATGACATGCTTTTTAGGGGCTGCTGGAGCCTGTACCAAGCTTTTATTTTTCATTTCAGGGATGCTATGAGTACTTACGCAGGTTTTTCTTTCAAAAAGAAAAATAGCAACTTACATGCTCTCACAGAACCTCGTCAGTGTGCTTGGCTTCTCTTGGTTGCGTCTTTGTCGAAACCAGCGTTGAATGCTGCGAACATCCCAGTCCAACTGCTTGGAAAGCCCTTCCAATCTCTTTTCGTCAGGATGCTATGAAACAAGGTACCAGGAAAATCATTTTCATCTTCACTATAAACAGACCTGCCCTTCTCTATATATGAGATTTTTTTTTTCTGTATTTACTATTTGCTACTGAGATTTCTACGTTTACCATTGAGGACCTGGGCTTCTATTAGCAGTGTGAACATAAATAACCAGTTATGACAAGAAAAGTTATTCATTGTGAAACAACATTGAAAAATATGAATTTTGCTCTAATGCTTGCACTTCTTACCAGCAACAAAGATTCAATGGAATAGCCAACTGGCTGAGTCATCTCCATTAGGCTTTAAGAAAAGGAGTTTCAAAACAAAGTTGATCAACAAAGTCTGTAGCAGAGAGGTCAAAGGCCACCTTAGGTAAATTTGCTAAGAGGTATTACCATTCAAATATTTCACTTTCTCAAGGGAAAAAAAAAAGCTATTCCTAATTATCACATATCAGTATAATAAAAAGCACCGAATAATCCCCAAATACCTCACCTTAGCCTAGGGTACCAATTCTATTACAAAATATGTTTCTCTTTTTTCCTTTTCTCTCTTCCCTCTCCATTCTTCACATATTTCATCTATTCCTTTTTCTGGTCATTCCTTTCACCAGATCCCCATGAAATCTTCTACAATGACTATGCATTACTTGAAGATGCAAACTTGGTTAAGTGGAAAGAGACACTAATTATGCCTGCCAAGTGATAGTACCATTCTGTCTCTCTCTCATTTCTGTATCATTAGGAGACAACATACATAGGTTCAATTCCTCGCTCCAATGACTTCTGACTCACAGTTTCCTCATCTGTTAAAGAAAGGGTTACTTATCCACCTAAATGGAATGCTGGTGAGGACCAAGTGTAAAAAGGTATGTAAAACTCGATAAATATTAGTTCTCCCTTTTCCTGTCCTTTCCTTCTTTTCGGCATCTTAGAGAGCATTCTGCCTCCACAATTTTGTGAAGGTGACCTGCCACACGACAAAAGAAAGCTATGTTAGTTCTATTCTTTATTCTACCATTGTTTTAATATTAAGATTTTAATGATCATAGAAAATAACCCAAAATGGTGTACACAGACAGGCTGACCAGCTTTCAAGTTTCAAGTTGTAAGGGTAGATGGTTCACATAATACCTTTTTTAAAGTATCTCTCTCAATTCAAGGTGTCAGACACACAGGAAACACAGCCAATGACCTTAGTGTTATGACTGAGGTTACAAAATGTGCTGAGCTTGTGTCCATAAAAGTTGTTTGCCAACTTTAAGTAAGGCGTGTACTTGGAGGTGTTTTCTATTTTTTTTTTTTTTTTAGTCGTCATGACACTATCTACACTCTCCTTTTGTGTCTCATCAATTAAAAAATATGGGAAAGAGAAAATCCACAGCCTACGATATACCTGGGCTATACCATTTGCCTAGAGGAATTCCTTTTTCATTTTCATTTGTTCTCTAAGTTTATTAAATAGGTAAAACATTCACATGGTTCACAAATTAAAAATTATCCAAAGTTTCACCTTTCTACTTTGTTCCTACTCTCTTAGTTCCTACCACCCCACCCCTTTCTACCAGGTAACCAATCATTAAATCAGATTCTTTCCAAGTATTCTATGCAAATATAAGCAAATTTGAATATATATTTCTATATTCCTCCTTGTCACATAAATGGTCACATACTACATATATCATTCTGAGCTTTGAGTTTTTTACTTTATAATGTATCTTGGAATATTTTCATATAGAAATATACAGAATACCCTTCTTTTGTAGAACTGTAAGGATATGCCATAATTCACTTATCCACTCCCTTATTAATGGACATTTAGGTAGCTCCCCCACTTCCACTACTATAAACAATGCTGCAATAAATAACCTTGTCATGGGTCATTTTATACAGGCCATTTAATATACAGGGATAAATTCCTGGAAATGAACGTTGGAGAGCAAACTGTTTATGCATTTGCAATTTATTTAGATGTTGAAAAATTACTCTCACTAATGATTTTACCAACTTATCCTCTCACAAGCAAGAATGCCCATCTGCCAAATCCTTATCGACAGAGTATGTTATCAGACTTCTCAATTTTTTTCCAATCTGATATGTAAAAAGTTGCATCTCAGTATATTTTTAATTTGATTTCCTTTTTAATGAAAGAAGCATCTTTTCATGTGTTTTAAAAATCACCCTTATTTCCTTTTTATAAAAAGCCCTTTCATATCTATTGCTCATTTTTTCTTGATTTATAGGTATTTTCTATAGAGACTTGTAGAATTTCCTCACTTATTACAGTGATTAGAACTATTTATACCACAGATTGCATACTTTGCACCAATGTGTTATTTGTGTTTAAAATTGGCTTATGGTCTTTTTATCTTGTTCTTTACTCGCATGAGTTTTTTAAAAAACATATTTGAATTTATCAGTCTTTTCTGTTATAGTTTCTGAATCTGGGGTCAGAATTAGAAAAGCTCTATTTCAAATCGTCAAGAAATTCTCCCACATTTACAGTTTTGATTTTTACATTCAATCGTAAGTGCATTTAGAATATATCCTAGTATACAGCAGGAGGTATGAATTTAACTTTCTTTCTTTCCAAATGGCTACCCAGATAGCCCAATATCATCATTAATCTTTTCCCCTTGAGAAGTTAAATCTAGCCTTCTATTGTTCTATTTTACTTATGCCAGTTGGATTACTCAGAAATCCTTATTTCTTTATGAACCTCCGAATTAGCTTGTCTAGTTTTAAAATAGACAAATGATTGAACAAAAATACCTGTTGGTATTGTTAATGAGATTATACTAAATTCTTAAATTAACAGAGTGAATTGATATCTTTATTCGATTTGTCTTCTATGTCTTTCAACAGTGTTTGAAATTCTCCTCACATAACTTGTACATCCTTGCTACATTTATTCCTAAAGATATTATATTCTCAGTTTCTATTATAAATAAGCAATTTTCTTATATCTTCTAACTGCTTATTGCTTGCATATATATGTGGTTACTAATTTTGTATTAACATTTCATAGTTTGTTACAGTTTTTCACTTGATTCTCTTAATTTTCCAGGTGTACAGTCATATAATAGCAATATTACTATAATATAAACTCTATAAACAAAGGAAATTTTTAGTATCTTTTTTCTCCAGTACCTAGAATTTAGTAGGGACTCAATACTTCTTCAATGAATGAATAAATCTTAACATAGCAATAGCTTTACCTCTTCCTTTCTAATTTTTATGTCTTTATTTTCTTTCTCTTAATGTATTTGCTAATTCATTGAAACACTTAGTACAATGTAGTACAGTGGTGATAAACATTCTTATCTGTTTTATAGTTGGAATACCCCTTTGTTTCCCATTAAGCAAGAAGCCAGGGCTTGGGGCTGATATACAAATGTACTTATCACCTGAAGGAAACCACTTATCCTTAGTTAATTTTACTTTAATCAAAATGATGCTAGATTTCATTATCCACGGAGATGATATTGTACTTTTTCTTAGATCAATTAATGTGATGAATTATACAGCTTTTTTAAATATTGAATATAGGGAAAGCTTTGCATTTCTAAAATAAACCCTATTGGTGATGATGAGTAGGAATTCTTTCAACGTGCTGCTAAGTTCTGATTGCTAATTTTTTATTTGAGATATTTCATCAAGCACAGTAAGTCTCTAGTCTTATTCTCCTATGCTTGTTGATTATTATGTTGTTAATTGTTATGTTGTAAATTTGTGCTTTGCATTTTTCTTGATTGGGCTGGCTAACTTTTTGTAAAAAAAAATAAACATTAAGGTACTTTTTAATTAATTATAAATCTATAATTTGCTAACTCATTTTCTGCATTTATCCCTATTAATTGCTTCCTTCTGCTTGGTGTCATTTATTTTGTTGTTCTTTTTCTAATGTTTAAGTAAGTGGTTAACAATTTTTTATATACCCATGAGTTTTCATCTGAGCACTGCTTTGGCATAGTACATATAAGTAGTACTTTCAGCAACACTGTTTTCTAAATATTCTGAAATTTTATTTTTCCTCAAGTGTCGATTGAGAAAGCAAGAGCCTTTCTGTTTTCTGATTTCTAGTATTATTAAATTGTGCCTATTTTGAAATTCATTATAGTTTTGTATATAATTAAAGCTCATTTTTGTAAATATTTTAACAGGCACTTGAAAAAAAAGTACAGTCTCTATATTCAGAATAGAGGGTTCTAAATGTACCTTAGGTCTTCCTTATTAATTATGTTTCTTAGAATTTCTATATCTCATTTCATATTTTATTCACTTGATCTGTCATGACTGAGAGGTAAATTAAAATTTCTTACTATTGTTCTTTCATTCTTTTTTATGAGTATATGGATACAGTGATAATCAATGCATATATATTAATAACTATTTTATCTTCACTGTGAATCATATCCTTTGGCAATAAAAAGCCAATTTTACATTTCATTTAATTCTTTCTGTCCTTAATTCCACTTTTATATAAAAATAGAAACCTTCATTTCCATTATTTGTATTTACCTGTATAGCTTGTATGCTTACTTTCAATATTTGTAATTATTTTTTCTTAAGGTATCTCTTATAAGCATTATTAGATGAGTCAAATCCCTTTACATGTATTGATATAACAGATCAGTTTGTTTATAGTTCTTTCAATTATAGTATGCTTTCTGTTTTGATTGTTTAAAAAAAATTTAACTTTAACAAACCAAATATGCTGCGTTTTATTTTCCTTCTTTTTTGTGGGTAATTTTTGTTCTAGTGATTATCCATATGTTAATACTCTCCTATTGTTTTCAGTTAAAAATAATTTTAGGTGAGCAATATTTAAAACTAGTATATTTCCTCTTCCTCCTCAGCCCAATATTAATCGATAATTTTATCTCTGTTAGAGTTTACTCTTGTATTGTTAAATAGGCTTGTACATCTATTACTTGATTTGGCTGCTTAAACTAATATTATCTGTCTTCTAGCTACTAGAGATTATGTAATTAGTAAATTTATTCTGCCTCTCATCTTCTTTCCCCTTCCCCTCTCAATTATTGTTAGTTGTATCATTTCTACACTGCGAGAGCATATAATGTTTACATTCTGTTCTGCCATCCCAATACTTACATCTCTTTCTTAGTTCTACAGTTTAAATGTATTCAAAACCCACTAACATTCCCAGTAATCTCTTGGTCAGCTGAAATTAATGATTATAATGGTTTCTTCAGAAATGACTCATGAGAACAATTCCCTCAAATTTTTGCATGTTCAAATCTGTTTGTCTTTAGCCTTTCCATAGCACAATTTGCCTAAATATAAAATTCTTAGTTCACATTTTTTCAAAAATATTGAAAATGCTATTCTTTTGAATGTTGCTATAGAGAAGATTAAAGTCATGCTGATGTTTTTCCCTAAATAAGTGACTTGAGTTTTTGCTTGGCTGCTTAAAAATTATTCTTTTATTTTTTTAGCTCTAACAATTTTCATAATATAAGCTTTGCTATTGACCTTCTTGGCTAAATTTTTTTATTACATTTCTATTAACACAGTAAAATAAATCTTCATTTGTTTTATGAAAATTTTCTTTAATATATCTTTAAATATTTTACCTTGCTTTTCTTTAAGGATTTCAGTTATGCAAATGCTGTATCTGCGTGGTCCATATATCTATTTGTATCTCTTTTTTGTTCATTTAATTCAGTTTTATTATTTCTATCTCCCATGTTTCTCATTGAGTTTTCTGCAGTGTCTAGTGTTTTCCATGTTCTTCTCAGTTTTGTCTTAATTTCTGTGATAATTTTAGCACTTTTTTTCCTGAACCTACCAGCACACATTTCATCTCTTCCTATTGACCAACTATTTTTTTCTTTAGGTGTTATATTTCTTTTTTGTGTTCTTCCTTCACGGAGTTCTTGTAATTGTTTTTATTCATGGTAAAATAATTAATAACAATTTCCATTCACCATGTGAATGAAACAACAATTTTCATTCATCATTTTTCTAGTGACAACTTTTGTTAATAAATGTTACTCACACTTTCCTTTCCTTGTCTTTGATGCTGTGTGTGTTCCTTCTTTATCACTCAACGAGTAAGTTGGATTTTCTTGACTAGCTCCTGGTAGTATAGGGAGCAAGGAGGGGGCTTTTGCAGTTTAGCTGCCACCAAGGTAGACCAACTCCCGAATATGTGCCTTCTATGTGGTTTTCTATGTGCTTCTTCCACCTCTCTGAATTAAACTGAGTCCAGAGGACATCTACCAGTCTTGCTCACCAGTTCCTGTACTTAGTGTTGTAAGCAGTGGATAGAGCTTTAGTCTTCCCTTCAGGAGCTGTCTTTTTTGTTGGCTTTCTGAAATCTACCCCCACTGGGCCCTTGAACATTCATGCTGTTCACTTCCTGCTACTTGACTTCTGACCAACCCCAAGTGTTGTTTGTTAGCCTTTATATATATATTGAAATATAGAGATATGTATCTCCTAGTTTGCTAAAAATAAAGTTTGTGAGATTTTCCTTTTTGTGTGTGTGTATGCATAATTTTAGTGTTTTGTTTTTTTAATTATACTCCATAGGGGTTTGGGGTTTTTTTTGTCCTTTTAAAATGTTTCCATGGAAAGAAATGGATAATGCTGACTTATAGAGACATTTTTATACCAGAAATACCTAGGTTAATTTTAATAATCACGACCAGTACTAAGAGGGGAAAGGGAAGTAAAAAGGAAAGAATGGGGATAGGCATGAGAGGAAAATGAGGGAAAACAAATTATACAAAGTTTGTATATAAATTTTAAAATGCAGTGAAACATACCAAAAGTAGATTATGATATGATTTCTCTGGATCATAAAACCCATTTTCATAGTTGACATATCTATTCTTTTTTCAACGGCTCAAGAATTGATTTTGTTAGAAAAGTGAAGCTGTTGGAATATGGCAGAGAACCCCAAAAAGATAATATATATCCTTGACCTGAAACCATGGTCAAGGGTAGGACTCTGGATGATCACTCAAACACATACAGACACTGTTCAAACTCTCTAAGTGTTGCTACTTCTATTCTGGTCAACTGGCCTGTTACTTTCTCATATCACAAATAACACTGGAGAACAACAAAGAATTCAAGGAAAAACAGTTACAACCTTTGCTGCATTTATATTTAAAACATGAAGCCTCTGCTTTAATGATGTAAAAACTTCCAAAAGAATCAACTTGGAAACTAAGAGAATATGATCATTAAAATTAGCTAGAAGCAAATATTCTCCAGAGCAGTCGACCTGGCTGTTAAATCCTTTTATTATTTTTATAGAGAAAATTTCTCCAGTAGCCATAATAAACATAAGGCAAAGGAAATCAAATGTCCACTGCAGCATTGCTAAAAGGCATTAACATTTGGGTAGAAAATCCATTTTATGCGTTTAGCCTTGTCTCCAAGGTAAAAAAAAAAAAAAAAAAAAAAAAAATGTTGTAATCACATTAAAAAATGATTCTTATAACTCCCTACACATCTGCTTTTTTGAGGAGTTAGGGGGAAGTTCAATGTAGTAAACTGATGTGTTAAGTGAAAATGCAGTACAAGTTTTTTCTTAATATTTTTTTTCCTTTAAATACCATAGGATATGTGTCCTTTCAGGTTAGAACCTGACAAATCTAAAAGTACCAGAAGAGATTTTTCTAAAATTCCATTCGTTCTTCTCTTCTTCCTAGCAAATATAAAAAACACCTGGTGCTTTCTTCTACTTTTCCAGGAAAAGTACTATTTTTAAAAGGATAAAGGGGAAAACCCTGGAGAATCTTGGCAGAAATGAAGACATTGAATAAACAAAAATATTTGAATATTTGAATTAATAGTTCTGAGATAAGAGACAAGTGATACAAATGGCTGGCAACACAAATACCAAAAAAGGAATAAAATTTTCTTAACTTTGTCAAATCACATCTTAGAAGCTTTAATAATTTTCCCAGGAAAATGAAAGAGGGAACCATTTATTATACACACAAACTAACCACTTATTATACAAACACAAAAAAATTCTCATAGAATGACACACTTCTTTTCTACTTTTCGTCCATGCAAGAGTAAGATAAGAGAGATATACGAGTAAGCGTGAGATATTTGGATGCTGTGATTTGCTTTAACTTCTCATGGCTTCAGATGAAGAGTGTCTGACTTCCGTCTTTCTCCTTTCCTTTTTGTTCTTAGGGAGATATCAGCTGGGGGAGGGGGGAGAAATCTTTCCATATCTCTTCTCCCTCCCCTGCTCTCCTCTTCCCACTCCTAGTTTGGACTTTAACTCTCACTAGAGTGATTTTCTCCTCTCCTACTTCCTTCACAGCGAATCTATAACATAATTCTCCTGACCCTTGTTCTTCATTCCTTTATGTTACAGCTCTTCTTCCCTCCAATTATTCCCTTTTTGTTCACACTTGCCTAAGTATCACAATTGCTAGAACATAAACAGTGCTATATGCAAACAGGAACTTTTATTCACATACATATACATGAGTTATATTACTCAGCTCTATCCAGTCACCTCCACAAAGCCCCATTCAACTGTTACATGTACTGCTCATTTCATGTGAGATTAAAAAAGGCATAGAGTTAAACTAATCACTAATTGCATTTACACTGCTCTTCACAAACGAAATTCTGAAATCAACCTGAGAGTAAATAAACAGGTCTCAAACATGCCAACACTTATTCAGCTTCTACCCATTTTGATCTAGTCACAGCACTTGTGTGCCTTCCAAAAGCACTCTGTGTAGCATGCAGCTGGGCAAAAGTTAGTTCTCAAACCCAGAAGAGAAGGTATTGATTGAGAATGGTAGTCATGACAATTCATATCCCAGAAAAGGAGAATCATACCTTTGTAATTGCAGTGAAGACCTTTTCCAGAATGGCATTTGGCTGGGCAATCTGTGGTCCACTGGCCTGAATGTTGAGGGCTATGGCACATGGTTTGGCCACAAACCTAACAACAACAAAAAAATCATAAGTTATTCTTTCTACAGCTGTTCTTACTGCCACGAGTTATATATTATTCAATTATCCCAACAGAGTGCTGATAGCATTTTATGGGTGAACATTGCCAACACTCATACGTCGGGAGCTATAAAACAGATTTAACTTTTTTTCTCTCCTTTAGTTCCCCAGCAGTAACAGTAAAAAAAAAAAAAAAAAAAAATTCTTTTAAAACATTTAAACCTCTTGATCCTCAAGTTCAAATAAGACAGAATAGATAGAAAGACTGTGGAATATCAAACATAAGTGTATAAGTGAGATACATAAACAAAATGAACCATGATTTTGAAATGGCATTATTTATAGTCATTTTACTAACACCTGACTAGCAATAATCATGTTATATTTTTACAATGAGAAAATGTTTACTTAGCATCTGATTACACATGCAGAGAGTGTGTTTCTGATCACCCCAGTCATAAAATTGTCCATTTTTGTCTCTATAATCAAAGTGTGCTATATTCAGCTCCAATTCTTTATGGCTTCTTAAAATTTTCTGCTTTGCGGTCGTTTGCTTCTTTCTCAGAAGGAGTAATGAAGGATGTCAAGCAGTATGATGTCCCAGACAAGCTGAAAAGTCTGCAGTGATTATGAGTATCAGCTGCACTGTTTTTAGCCTAAGCACATGACTGTGTCTAGAAGAATGGGAAGACTGAGCTTCATTTCTGGTCATCTCTGATGTGTGAGGTATTAAAGGCGTGTAAGCAGAGGGCATGAGGCCCAAAGGTATGGTGACGTGTCTAAAACTTTTTCAAAAAGATAAAGTATTTACAACTTTAAGAGTTGTTTTAGACTAAATAATAAAGAAATAGGATTCTGTCAATGTTCCTTTTCAGTAGTGACATGTAACATTTTCTACTAATACAAAATAATATAATATGAACGCATCACTCGAATTAATTTAATGTTGGCCAAAGGCACAAATGTACAAAACAGATCATAAGTAAATCTTAGATGAAGTATTTTTAACAACTGTTGACAAGATTAGAGTAAAAAAGTAAAGAAGAAAAAATTTTTTTTAAGTAGGACTATTGAAGTTTATATTTACAGTACCGCATAATATCCTTCTGAGCCTCATTTCAAGTAAAAGAGAAGAAGATATTTATTCAAACAGGAAAATAAAACACTGCAGTCTATGGCCATGCCACCCTGAACAATCCCGATCCCGTCTGATCTCGGAAGCTAAACAGGGTCGGGCCTGGTCAGTACTTGGATGGGAGACCACCTAGGAAGATCAGGTGCTGTAGGCATAAAAAATAAAAAAATAAAGGATTGTAAGCTGCCAAGGTTCTTGCAATCTGTAAGGTCAATCATGGGTTGTCCCGCCTAAAATATAAATTAAAAAATAAATAAAATTAGATAAAATAAAATAAAAATAAAACACTGCACATACAAGCCTAATCTAGAAAAATGTACACAGAAAATGCAATATAATACTTGTTTCACTGGGCTCTCTGGGACAAAGTTAGGAAGAAAGAATAACTACTTTTTCCTAATACATATATCTTCTAGAAACTAGAGTTTTCTCAAACTTTTGCAATCAACCTTTTGGAATGTAAAATTTTCTCAGACATATTACCTATGTCTCTACTTTCTTAAAGAGAAGTATGACTTTTTCCTAATGACCCTGAGTCTTTACCATGAACAGTAATCATAGTGCTGTGGCTTTAACTAGTTGGCGAAAGAGATGGAGTTTGATGGGGAATGACAGGAGGAGAGTCCAGGACTTGTTTACTTGACCATGTTCCCTGCTTTGTGGTTATTTGCCTCTTCATCATAAGATATAATGAGGGGTCTGAAAAAACATGATGTCTGGTAAAAGTGAAAAGGGAGGGGTAAAATAACAAAATTAATTAGGTGTGAAAACCAAAGTCAACTGTTCCAGTGTTTTTCTTCTACTCTTCTCTGTTAGATTTTTTCCCCAGCCTTTCCTCATCTTCCCTATTCCCACAACTTTTGAAACGCTGTGTTCAAATTGTTTTTCAGACTTTATCATCATCCTTGTAACATCCTCCTGGTCTTATACATGGTCTTCTTTCTTCTTCTAAAGAGTGAAGTTTCTAAGGGCAGAGGCTGACCATTTCCTCTCTACACGCCATGACAATGCCTGGGCAAACACAGGAGGGAATCAAGAAATGCGATCAAGAGGCTACGTTCAGTAAACACGTTTTCACTGTTGCTATAGTTGTTTTGATTGCTGCTGACAAGTTAACAGACCTCGGTGTGTCACAACAACACAGCAGGAGAGTCAAGGAATTCACTCTACAGAATCTCTTCAAAAGCAACTTCCTCACCTTGGCTATCATCCTCCAGCAACTTACAAAAGCATTCAAAAAGGTTTTTAGTATCTACTACACAATGCCATGTTATACACCTCTCTCTTATCTCTTTTTAAGCTTCAAATCCCCTTTTAAAAACTTCTCCAAAGGACTAACAAAAAACTGCTTTTCAAGAACTACTGAAACAGCATCTTGAAGAAGCCATATCCTTTGATCACCAAACTTATCATATTTGAATAACCAAAATTAACAAATTAATATCATGCTCAGTGAACAGATTTTTAAAGCACTGTCCAAAGGCTAGTGTGGGAATCATCTCTGCTACTATATGGCCGTGGAGCCCTAGCTGCAGAAATTAATCTCTCTGTGCCTCAACATCCTCATATGGAAAAATTTATAACAATAATAATTATTACATATGTATATAAATTGCATGTATGCAAATATATGTTTTTAACCATGTTAAACATTTAATATACGTTAAAACAATGTCACATGGTCTCTTTGTCTAAAATCTTTGACGTGAGCCGTGTGTATGGTTTTGTACTGTAGCATTTACACATCATCAGTGCTTCAAGGGCCCAAGAACCTACTCAGCTTCAGCTACGCTGTGCCAAGCTATGTGCATCCAACAAGTTCTAAAAATACCAAGCAAAAAAGAAGAGACCAGAAACCAAGGCACACAACCGAAAAAGACAATGGAATCATGCAGAGTAAGCACCTGTTTTGGTCCGCTTGTCCCTGCATCATGATGAATGGCCCACCTTTCTGACAGAAGTGTCCCTATTTGATATTTTGCCACAGTAATTTTTTAAGGGTCCCCATATGAACAATAAATTGTGGTGACCTTCATCATCGAGCTGCAGGCCTGTTGTGGGTCCACACTGAGTCCACACCAGCAATGCCATCAGCATCCAAGCTCACTCATACCAGGCCTTCTTTCAGGACTTAAATCTTTCCAGCTCCTCTAGCCATCTTCATGGCCCTCTAGGGTGCTGTGTCCACCCTCACAACAGGGTAGTTGGTATGAACATGTGTGTCCCTATTCATGTGTGCGACCTCTAAGAAGACAGGAATGGCCTTCACGAAAGTCCGCATCTCCAGAGCCCAAAATACAAACCTATTTAATCCTCCCTCAGCCAGATGAGTCAAGATTATCATCACCCCTACTTCACAGAGAGAGTCAGAGAGATCAGTAGCCTCTGCCTCCAGGGGAAGGGAAGCAAAAGATGACATATTTCTTTCTCAGGAAGGTCAATGTTATCATCAGCTTCCCATCTTGATTTACTGGCCGGGCTAAGTCCTAAATTCTGAGGATTTGCGGGAAGGGGTGTGGTGTAAGGACTGACAGACTAATTTAACAGAATTTAACTCAATTTAAAGATTGAAGCTCTTTACAGTTTACATGGCTCATGGTGGGGATACTCAATAACCTACAAAAATCCTTTGAAGCAAGCTATCACGTTATAGAATTTTTTATGTACATTCCTGGCATACGGTGGACACTCAATGAATATTTGATGAATGAATGAATGAACAAATCAGCCAAAATTCAATGTTGGTACCCTTCTTATCTTTTCCATAGAGGCTGTGCATTTTAATTCCCTTGAATACCAACATCTACTGAGGGTGTTCATACGGGACTCATAAAGTAGGAGACTGACCACTACAACACTAGAAGCCATTTCTAAAATTCCCATTGTCCCTATGAAGTCAAGGCTGCCCCATAGAGCACTTGTGTGGGCTCCACCAACCTCTCACCAGGCATTTTTTTTTTCAACTTATCTAGTACAGACAGCCAAACACCTAATTTCCAAGATTTAAAAAATTTCACAAGATAAGGAAAAAAACATTAATTTCAAATCTCACCTGAGAGAAGGAAAAGAAAGTATAATTTTTATTTTCCTAACAGTACTCCTGATTATATGAAAATACAGAAATTTTATTCGTGTTTATTCTCCAAAGAATTTGTGAATCACTACTGGCATTTTCAATCACTACTGGCATTTTCTTTTTTCTGAGAGTATATTAGGCACCAAATAAAGCCTATGACACAACCACCTACAGTCATGGTCCATTAGAGAAAAGATGGATTTTTTTTTTTGTTCTTTAAGGCTGGCTCTCACAGAAATTCAGAAAAACTGTCTTTCACAAGGCTTGTCTTAAAAGAGAGAGAGAGACAGAAAGAGAAATGGAGGATGGGGTAGAGTATCTACAAATATAATAGTTGAAAGGAAATATGTTTTTCAAGCTTGAAGACTACCTCTACCTGGAAATGCTCACCTAATTACTTTTTAATCAAAGGCAGCAACACCACCTTCAAAAGATCAAACATCTGTAAAGTACTTTTATGCAGTATAACATACCATTTGAAAGTAAATGCAATAAGGATATAAGCTTTGGAAAATACTAGTTTCAATTTAAAAGCAAAGAAAACACTTAAAACATTCCTACTTTTTAATTCTTATTAACACCATGTATTTGTAGTTTTAACATGAATTGAACATCTCTGCATAGAGCACTGAGGTAAGCTCTGGGCTGTAATGTGGCTAAAAGTATATACAAAAAAGGAAGTGATTTTTATACTCAAACTTGTTTACAGTATGGGAAAGGAGATTAATAAAAAATAAATGTTTACAGGGTACATGTCAGTTCTAATTACTTAATATTA